GCACGAAGTCCACGGCGGTGGTCCCTTCTTCTCTGTCCTGCCATGCTGAGACGCTGAGAAGCTGACCGAAGTCCAACCGTTGAACCGGAGGAGAAGTTTGCGCATCGCGCAGGAGATTGTACACATTGCGTTGAGTGCATTTCTCCTGCGGTACGGGCTCCGAAACCTGATCGGCGCCAAGAAAGTAATTTCCCAGAGGCGCTAGTGCTGGGATGTCCACCTTCCGCATGCCATGCCCGTCAGGCTCGCCAACCCGGGGAAGAACTCCTTCGTTCGGCGCCGCCGTCTGGCAGCGGTCGTGGACGATCGGACCTACACGACACATGATGTCCGTGATGACGAGGATAGGCATGTGCTGCATTAACAATGGGGGACACGGGGGACATGAAAGCATGGGTGAAGGTAGAGCGTGGGAAGTTGACAAAGTTTTCTTGGGTTCTACTGTCGTGTATTCGCCTGACGTATTCAACAGACAGTTCACAAACGAATCTGAGACGGATACGCCAGCAATAGACTTAACACAGACTGCCAAGTTGTTCTACCCCGGTGCCCATTTATTGCATTTAAAAGCCTTTCGAGATGAGGGTCACACATATGTTGTGTAGACAACCCCGAGGTCGTGGACGCGGTTTGCGTACTTGCCGAGAAGAGTCCAACGGGGGAATGTGCGAGACAAGACGAGGAAAAATTGCAAACTTTTCCGAAGAGGTGACACAATTCCATGCCTCCCTTTGAGAACAGCACATGTGCAGACTTCGATTCCGACTTGATTTTTTGGACAACACTAGATTTCAGATAAAAAAAAGCGACACAGGGTCTGGCCGTGCGCACGACCAACTGTTCCCAGAATTAATACTGGTGCGAGCATTGGAGTTGGAGTCGATAAGATATTATGTCTACATCCTATCCTACGGCCTGCTTGATTGATGGTCATATTTTCTTCGTGCATGCTGTGAGTTGTGTTAGAAGTAGCGCGTTGGTGGCGTTCTATACAATATTTATCTCTGGCTTGGGCACAACACATGCGCACTCCGGGCCTCCAAGCGCGAGTGGGGCAACCAGTTCAATCGATTGGAGTAGTGTTTACTGCTCATTACAAC